GCAGCTTTGAGTTCAGCACAGTCATCACTCTGCTTTGACCTTTTGTCTCACATCATCAAATCCTCGCTGCTCCATGTTAGAGGAAGAAGGAATTCCTAATATGAACGCGAGGGTCAGACGTCCGGATCATTGAAATCAGGGGCGGATTTAGGAAATATGGGGCCCAGCAAAGACAGGAAGGGGGCCCCTCTGAACAGCCCCATTCTCCAGATAGAGAAATGTTAATAGAATAGACATTTTTCATTTGGATGAAATAATAGCTGCATGAATCATGACAGCAGACAAGATAGAGGAGAGCAGGAGGCGGGGTTACCAATCTACTCGCTCTGGAGAGCAGAGTTCGGCACAAAATTGAATTGAATTTCACATTAGTGAGCTTCTTGTTCCTCTTCTACTCGTTTGGTTTCTGGATAGATGAGTCCGAGTCCCACCTGGTTTTTAGACGTACAATTTGAGCAGGTAGATCGCATCAGAGCGTCTCAGCTAGCTAGTTTCGTCGTACAGTGTGAGCTGTAGCTGCGCGCAACGATTGAAAAAAATCGCACAGTATATGTCTGGTTTAAAACAAATTATCTGAGTGAGGGACGGACGGAGAGTCAGGTCGATAGACGGATCGGTGCGACGTCGGCGGTGATGCGGTCGCTGTATCAAACTGTCTATGTGAAGAGGGGGCCGAGTCGGGGGCAGGGGGGCAAAGCTCTCGATTGACCGATCAATCTACATTCCCACCCTCACCTATGGTCATGAGATCTGGGCAATGACCCAAAGGACAAGATCGCGAATACAAGCAGCCGGAATGAGTTTCCTTGGCAGGGTGGCTGGGCGCACCCTTCCAGATCAGGTGAGGAGCTCAGTTACCCGAGAGGAGCTCGGAATAGAGTCATTGCTCCTCCACGTCGAAAGGAGCTAGCTGAGGAGGCTCGGGCATCTGTTCCTGATGCCTCCTGGTCGCCTCCCTCCGAGGGGTGTTCCAGGCATGTCCCATTGGGAGGAGGCCTGGTGGAAGGACCAGGACACGCTGGAAGGACTATGGCCTGCTGTCCCCTCGGGGTCCCCCAGAACAGCTGGAGGAGGGGTGCATAGATCGGGAAGTCTGTTCATCTCTGCTTAGACTGTTGCCTCCGCGACCCGGCCCCGGATAAAGCGGAATAAAATGGATGGATGGAGGTTTGACTTGATGGAGGCAAAATACCCTTCGTGAAATCTAACCATTCGTTGTTTGCTGAGGGACGATTAAAGTTGTTGGTCAGTTTCTTGGGGCGGTTTAAGCGTTATTTATCTTGACTCTCTTTACTCACGGTGTCCCTCAAGGCTCTGTCCTTAGAACCATGTTTCTTTGTACACAAACCTTCATGTTTCATTTATCAGGATGTACGTCTGTATGCAGATGACACAACATTTGCCCTCTCTGTTCATTCATCTGGAAATCTCAGAGATCAGGACCCTACCTGACGCCTGGACCTCTGTGATATACTGCTGAAGATCATGTCCCTGCTGGATCACCTCATAAATCATGTTGTTCATAGCCAGCCTTCGCTCCATGTGCCTGCAGAGCAGTCAGATAATCGATTAAAGCACGGCGAGCGATGATGAAGCAGAAAGATGCCTCCCTGTCCGGTTTACCTGTGAATACGCTGCTGTGCCAACGTTAACGCTTCAGGAGTCGCCTCTGCTAGACGCGACTGGCCTAGGGCCAGTTTGTCCTGGGCCAGCTGGTCCGGGTTCGTCTCAGCTAGCCGTGGAGACGTTAGCTTGTCAGCTGAAAAGTCCTGGGACTGTTTTTGGAGATCCTGTTTCCAGGCATCCATCTCACCAGTTACCTGAAAATGAATACATGCAAAAAGAATCCAGCCTAAGATGTTGGAAGGCAGACTAGGAAGGGTTGTAGAGTAATGCAGAACCTATGCTAACCTCTAGAGTGCACTGTTGCAGGATGCGGAACTGCAGGTAAATGTCGAGTCGGATCTTCTTCTGGTGGAAAAGCTCCTCAAGTTGAGCGTGGGATTCCTCCAGCTGCTGCAACACTGACTCCACATGGGCCACAGAGCTGCCCTGGGGCCTAAAATGCAGAGAAATGACACAACTCAGGCATTTAGGAATTTAGCTTAAAGTCGTAGCGAAGCGGCCGTTCCAACCGTTGCATTTCCGAATTCTCGTGAGTCGTGCCCGACTTTACA